TCACATCCCTGGGCATCTCAATATGGGAGCAGACATCCTGTCAAGGCAAGGGCCGAGACCCGGGGAATGGAGGCTTCTCCCCGAGGTGGTGAAGCAGATATGGAGAGTTTTTGGCCAGGCTCAGTTGGACCTGTTTGCGACTCGGGAGACATCGCACTGTCCCCTCTGGTTCTCTCTGACTCATCCAGCTCCACTACACGTTTCCTCCGTGGTGCGCTGAGGCCTCCGGTACGATCTCGCGTCCCCTGTGGGACCTGGCTGTGGTGTTAGAGGCTCTCTGTAAACCTCCTTTCGAGCCTATAGAGGAGATATCTGAGGCGGACCAACTGCCAGTGTGCTATGGTCCACCCAAGAGAGGTCTTCCTGCTACTAAACAGACCCTCAGCTGGTAGATAGTGGATGCCATTTGCATTGCCTATGAGTCCTCTGATCTCCCCTCGCCCTTGGGGGTCAAGGCTCACTCGACTAGAAGTGTGGCGGCCTCCAAGGCCTTTCTGGCAGGTGTTTCTATGCAGGACATCTGCAACGCTGCGTGTTGGTCCACGCCCCTAACGTTCATCAGGTTCTATGGCCTCGATATGCGAGCCACTCCGGGCTCTTCTGTTCTCTCGCCCTAGCTGTGCTCTTCCACACTAGGCAGGGATTTGTAAGTCTGACTGCGTGGGCATACTCGTTCCCATAGCGTTTCGACGCAGCTCAAGTTCCTGAAGGGGAACGTCTCTAGGTTACACATGTAACGTCTCGGTTACGTACGTAACCCTCGTTCCCTGTCGTTCCCTCAATCCACTCTGGTTTTCAGAGAAAACTCCAATGAATTTTGGCTAGTGGATTTTGCAAACCTGAGCCACTCCCCATGCATACGGGTATAAATAGGCGACAGGTGCATCCACTCATCAGGTTGTACGCTGAGGAGACTAGAATGTGTCCCTGGCAACCAGCGATGGTTCAAGGTTGTGGCATGGGGACATAACATCTCCGTTCCCCTTCATTAGGGAATGAGGGTTACGTACGTCACCGAGACACCTAGCCCAGTAAAGGGGCTGACCAGAAACCCGGGCAAGCTGACACCGATACTGGGCCTGGTGTCAGACTGCTCCGCCCAGTCTGACTGCCAGGTGTGCTGGAGGATACTCATCCAGGGTTCGCCATCCGGGGAACTTACTGGAGGAGGTAAAGGCGCTCGAATCACCGGGTGAGTGTCTTACGGGACACAGCAACGCCAAGGCTGGATCTGCCTCCTCCAAAGGCAGTGCTTGCAGGTTCACCACCTGATTGCGAAATGCTTGGAGGTCCCCGACCCTCTTGATGGAAGTGTGCGCGGTCAGGAGCGCTGTCTTAGCAGACAGGAACTTAAGCTCAGCTGAGTCCAGCAGCTCAAAGGGATCCCTCTGAAGGCCAGCCAGGACAGTAGAGAGATCCCAGGAGGGCACCAGGGGTGGCCTAGGAGGATTTAACCTTCTGGCTCCCCTCAGGAACCTGACGATGAGATTGTGCATTCCCAGGGACTGGCCGTCCACTGCATCGTGATGTGCTGTGATAGCAGCCACATACACTTTCAAGGTGGGGGGTGACAGCCTACGCTCCAACCTTTCTTGCAGGAAAGAAAGCACTACTCCAATCGTGCATCTTCGGGGGTCTTCTCGGCGAGAAGAACACCAGTTCACGAACAGACTCCACTTCAGAGCATAGGCTTGCTTCGTCGAGGGAGCTCTAGCCTGAGTGATCGTGGTTACCACCGCCGGTGGCAGATCACTTAAGTCTGCTGCGTCCCGTCCAGGAGCCACACATGGAGGTTCCAGAGATCTGAACGCGGGTGCCATATGGTGTCGAGCCCCTGAGAAAAGAGGTCCTTTCTCAGAGGGATGCGCCAGGGAGTGGCTGTCGCGAGGACCATGAGTTCCGAAAACCAGGTCCGGGTGGGCCAGTACGGCGCAACCAGCAAGACCTGTTCCTCGTCCTCCCTGACCTTGCACAGTGTCTGTGCGAGAAGGCTCACTGGGGGAAACACATACTTGCATAGAGCCCGAGGCCAGGAGCCAGCGTGTCTGTGCCGAGGGGGGCCTTGGTCAGGGAGTAATACAGCTGGCAGTGGGAGGACTCGCGGGAAGCAAACAGGTCTACCTGGGCTTCCCCGGATCGATTCCAGATCAGCCGGACTGTCTCGGGATGGAGTCGCCGTTCCCCAGGGAACGTGAGCTATCGTGAGAGCGTGTCGGCTGCACGAATGAGCTTCCCCAGAATGTGGACGGCTCGCAGCGACTTGAGGAGGAGATGATGGGCGAGCTGTGACATGCGACGTGAACGTAGACCTCCCTGCCGGTTGATGTACGACACGGCCGCAGTGTTGTCCGTGCGGACCAACACGTACTTGTCCTGTAGCAGAGGCCGGAACTGCCGTAAGGCAAAATGCACTGCCAACAGCTCTAGGCAGTTGATGTGCGAAAGCAGTCGAGGCCCCGTCCAGAGCCCCGAGGCTGCCTGCTTGTTGCATGTAGCGCCCCAGCCCATACCGTTGTGATAACGACATGCCGGGACACTTGAACGGCATCTTTAAAAAGACGCGAGCCGTCCGTAATGATAAACTGCTCTTCTAGTTGAAGCACCCAGGGGAATCGCTGAATCAACAGGGACACCACTGTTTGTGCCATCACGCCAACCAGAAACAGCTTATTTCTTCCAGTCAGAACGAAAAGGCTTTGTGGAGAAGAAATCATTCACCCACTCGGCTCCGAAGCAAAAATCTGATGAGTGGATGCACCTGTCGCCTATTTAATTTAATAATAATATAAATTATGCATTTAGCAGGCGCTTTTATCCAAAGCGACTTACAGTACATTCAGGTTATACATTTTTTACCAGTATGTGTGTTCCCTAGGAATCGAATCCACAACCTTTTGCGCTGCTAACGCAATGCTCTACCACTGAGCAACAGGAATACATTTATATCCGTATGCACGGGGAGTGGCTTAGGTATGCAAAATCCACTAGCCAAAATTCATTGGCATTTTCTCTGAAAGTCAGAGCAGATTGGGGCTCTCAAGTAAACCCCCTATGTCGTCACGACATAACTCATAGTGACCGACAGATAAGGAATCCTGGTTCCCCAAGGGAGCGAGACGCTGTGTCTCAGTGCCATACTTCTGGCATCCCTGCGAGCACTTACTTCATTACCCAGAAGCTGCCGCTGAATCCACCGCACGTGCTTTTAAGCTTCCTGGTCGCTACGTCACCCCGCCCGTGACGTCTCGCCCATCCATTGGACTGATTACACACGTGATTCAGATCGTGGTCACGCTGAAGGCGTTCCCATAGCGTTTCGACGCCGCGTCTCGTTCCCTCAGGAAACCTAGAGACATTTTTGATTATTTATTTTGTAATAGTTAACTATAATAACACTGTCACTGTGCGATTGACAGTTGAACATCTGTGTTCGATTTGCTGTTTACGTGTGACTATGGAAAAGTGAAGATTACAGCGTCGGATGAAGCGGCGCTGAAGGCATTCCCATAGCGTTTCGACGCAGCGTCTCGTTCCCTCGGGAAACCTAGAGACATTTTTGATTATTTATTTTGTAATAGTTAACTATAATAACACTGTCACTGTGCGATTGACAGTTGAACATCTGTGTTCGATTTGCTGTTTACGTGTGACTATGGAAAAGTGAAGATTACAGCGTCGGATGAAGCGGCGGACACGTGCTGTTTTAATCAAATCTCAGTTTTCCAGTGTTGAAGTTGTATTTCCTGAAGTCTCTCAGAGCTCAGCTGGGTCTGTCTAGAGGAGTTTGAAGGCCTCACGCCTGTAAATCTGGGCTTTTCCATCGTGAAGTAACTGCAGCCTAACTGCCGCTCTCTCTGCTTTCACCATAATTTCAAGCAAATCAAAGATGTCTGCCATCACTTATTAGAGGGGTTTGCTAAGTGCTAAAGTGGTCTCTCTGCCTCACTCTCATAATGGCTCGACTCTGTTTGTCAGAAATGCGTGTGGTGCTCGCTGTTGTCTTTGCCGAGCCGATGATGGCCGTTCGTTCCTCTTGTTTAGATGAGATTTACTGTGCCGTAAGAACATTGCACTTCAAAGCTGTCGCTGCATTCACTTGGGATCATTTTAGAAGACATTACATTCAGCCAGTGTTGAATATACATCACTTCAGATGGATTTTAAAATGTTTTAGGCTGGAAGTACCTGCATATGTTGAGTTTTAGAGGCTAGAAACTAAATAATGAAGAATAGATGAATATTCATATAAAAGATTAATATATTTTATTTTATTTTTTTTTGAACATGTTTTTTTGGTATAGGCCTTTTTAACCAGTTTAGCAGATACAGTTATAATTGAATTAATATTTTGAAATAGCTTTTTTGTTTGTTTGTTTAAATGCTATGTCATTTTAATTAGTTTTTGTTTTTTTATATCTGTTTTTTTCTTCTTTTTTTTTACATATGTTTTTATATCTGTAATTTTATTTCAGTGTGAAATCAAAATTGACACTATTTACTTGAATTCATGCTCCTGCTGTTCAGATTAGCATGAGAAAAATGATGTCTGCGGCATCCCGCAAAACAAACAAACTGTTAATATTTATGATTGCAGAATTCTAAAGCATCGGTCAATGCTGTCAGAATGTGTATTTAAATCCAATGCGGTCAGTGTGTGTATTTAAATCCAGACTCAGACTACAGAAGTTTGGGGCAGAACATGACCCACTGGAGCACAATACAAACAGACAGCTTGATGAATGCAAACGACCAGCAGAATAAAATAGTTTGGGATATGGGGCATAAATCTTCATGTCACAGCTTGTTTGCAGATGTATTTTTCGGCACAGACAGAAGCCCGTGCTTGCCAGAGACTAACATCTGTCTCTGCATCACAACAACAACAACATCGGCACATAAGAAGTGGCTGGGCTCGTCTGATGATCGGACCTGTAGCACAGTTTATCTTCTGAACCGCTGCTTCTCAGTGCAGTCGTGCTGGATTTATGCAGGCTTTAGATGGGGATGACGTGAATATTTAAAGGACAATCGCGACAGAACGAATGCACTACTGTATGTTCCTCAAACAAACCTGAATGTCCTTCAAATAAACTGTGACCCTGGACCACAAAACCAGTCAAAAGGGTCAATTTTTCAAAATTGAGATTTATACATCATCTGAAAGCTGAATAAATAAGCTTTCCATTGATGTATGGTTTGTTAGGATATGACAATATTTGGCTATTTGTATATTTGAATATCTGGAATCTGAGGGTGCAAAAAAATCTAAATATTGAGAAAATCGCCTTTAAAGTTGACCAAATGAAGTTCTTAGCAATGCATAATGCTAATCAAAAATTAAGTTTTAACATATTTACGGTATAGGAAATTTACAAAATATCTTCATGGAACATGATCTTTACTTAATATCCTAATGATTTTTGGCATAAAAGAAAAAGCTATAAATTTGACCCATACAATGTATTTTTGGCTATTGCTACAAACATGCCCCAGCGACTTAAAGGCACAATATGTAAGATGTTATATATTTTGCTGACTTGTGTACTTACATTATCCCAAATGTTTCGAAGAATGT